AGCATTACCCAATCAAATGCCTAATGCCACGTCCGGCGGCAGCGACTTCTGCATCTCTTTCATCTCTACCAGTTACAATGGTTGTCTGCACCACCGCCTCCTTCAAATTAATGAACTTGTAACACTTATAGCCAATGTAGAGGCCTCACATCTCTGGCTAATTGGGGATGTGCTTCAATCCACCCACCATTGCTAACTCCCAAACAGCACCTCTGCCTGACCTCATGCCACGCATAGCCTTCTTCACTAGAAGTCGCCACAAGCATGCAAATTCCAAAATAAATCCAAAGGGTGAAACCTTCGTTTGCATAGATGATGTCTTAGGGACGCTCAACTTTTAAATCATCCTTACGATTTGTCCACGACAGAAATGTTAACGGGATATTTTGTTTTAAATTAATTCAACTCTAATGTCCTTCCAAAGGTAGGTTCTTCGAAATGTCATGAGTATGGTAATTTTTTAGATAAATGCAATGCTACCCTTTGATCAGACTATTAAAAATTGCCTTTTTGAAGTAAGAAAACAATTGTAATTAACTTAGTGGAAGCAAATGCTTATTTCCCACTCCCTAAAAATGGCGATGGGATCATAGCGAGATGCGATGCTTAAGTCACCAGCATGGTTTAATAGGGTAAAAACACAAACTTTATTATTGTTATTATTATTCTATTTTGTCTTTTGTGAATTGATCTTGAAAACCTAACTAGGCAGAAAGTATGGATGTCGAAAAGATAGAGAAAAAAATTGACCAAGTTCGATTAATTCAGTCCTATTCCATTTTTTTTGCAAAGCTTGATAAAAAATAACAACTCCGTGCTTGTTTTTGCTACAAAAACTGAAAAGTAGCTGTCGAGCACATTAAGACGGAAGAAATATGCAGGCATTAAAAAGTAGGCTTTTGCATCTTGGTAATGAAGTGCAGCAGCCATGGTAGATTTGTCTGTTCCCTTAAGAAGTATCAGAGGTGGTCTTTTATTTGAACCCTGTTTGCTTGTGTCTACCACCGAAAGATACATAAATCAAAATGTTGCGCAAATGTGCAAATATTAATTACACAATAATGTTATGAAAATATGAAGTTTATAAATTTAGATGATGACCTTGCCCCATCAAACATTGCACATAACAGCTGTTT